GAGAGAGAGAGAGAGAGAGAGAGAGAGAGAGAGAGAGAGAGAGAGAGAGAGAGAGAAGAGCAGTATAGGGAAGGGTGTGTTGTGAGACTTCATTCATAGTCAATGGTTGGCAGTGGCCCCCTGACAGTGGTGGTTAATGATGTGTGCAGGTGAGAGGCAGGCAAACATCAATGTGGCAGATGGACAGAAGAGTGCAGTGATTTTAGCTTCAGAGGCAGCAATGACTGATCAAGTGAATCGTGCCAGAGGTGGGTTCACATTCAGATTACCCCTTCTGTTTTGGAGACCCTACCATACTCTTGGCACACGTGTAGTGCACCTCCGAAAATAGGGGGTCAATGGAAAAAAGGGGAGGGGTGTGGTGGCCTGCCCGCCCCTCAAAAAAATAAAACTTGTATGTGTTTGGGGATGCTGTCAGTTCTGGCCCTCACAAAAAATGTGTTTGTGTGTGTGTGTGTGTGTGGGGGGGGGGGGGGGGGGCTATCTCTGTGCTATGTCGAATGTAGACAACTGGGTAGCACTGTAACGCTTGCGAGGCTGAGGGAGAGCCGAAGGAGAGGAGAGAGAGAGGAAGAGAGAGAGGAAGAGAGGGAGAGCACACACACACACACTCACTCACTCGACACNCGAGGCTGAGGGAGAGCCGAAGGAGAGGAGAGAGAGAGGAAGAGAGAGAGGAAGAGAGGGAGAGCACACACACACACACTCACTCACTCGACACGACTGGGGGTCGGACGCAGACACAATGGCAGGGGCACAAAGTCGAAGTCTTGGATTCCCTAATGCCGAAACAGCAAGTCACACTGAGTACGAGTACAGCAGCCGGAAACTGGTACGAGACTGGTCCCCGTACCGTACGGGGAGCCGGTATAAGTACCGGTGACACGCACGGTACCAGGGGCATTTCTGCAAAGGCCCCGAGGGCAGAACTGAAAAATGCGGTATTTGAAAGTGGCGCCCAAATTGCAGCATGGCGCCAGTTGTCCAAAATCCTACGGTACCAAAGGAGGGGTTTGGAAAAAGGGTGCCGGGCCGAAAACGGGATGCAGCCGAAACAGCAAAAAGATGGTTAGGGAAACAGGGATCTGCTAATGATGTTCTCCAGGGTTGTCAAAGTCAGGAAATATAAAAATGAAAATGTTTGTTCAGGATGCAAGGGCTGGTGTGTCTGAAGGAGTCGAAAGCAGAATCTCATTCAGGAACGAAGTGTCCAAGTGTCTTGAAAGGGGGTCTGCAGCGGTCTTGATCAGTCTTTGGAGTAGGTGGTAGAAGCGGTCTTCAGCGGCTGCGACAGGTAGAAGTCCAAGAAGCGTAGTAGTAGTTCAAGTGTCAAAGTCCAAGTGCTAGGGTGCGTCCGTTACACGAACTGCAATGAGGTCTGATCTGGAAGCAAGGCAGTCGCAGACTGATGCAAAGATCCATGTCACAAGTTGCTGCTCCAGCAAGTCTGCGAGTCGGGATACCGGCCGATGAAACGGCATGGTGGCCAAACCAGCTGCATAATCTCCATAAACAGTGAGGCAGCGGGCCATCGTCCTCGTGCGTTTGCCATTAGATCCTTTATCGCCGGTGTCACGCAGGTTCACAAGCATTGGACAAGAGAGACAAGGTAGTGGAGAGGACAGATGGGACAAGGCTAGGCGCAGGTAAGGGCAGATCAGACATCAGGAGTTAGGGTCAATGGGAGGGTGGCTGGGTTCAAGGGTGTGTGTAGAGCAGGGTTGCAATGGTTTAGCGGGGGTTTATGCCATAGTTATATAGGTATCTAGGACATAAGATTAGAGAGAGGTTCCATGTAGATTCTTCGTCGGGGTATCTGGTCCATTTGACTTTGTATTCAATGATTGGTTTTGGATGAAAAGATACCTGAGTGCTCGTCGACCGATGATGGTTTCGACAACGAATTCAGGGCCAGTGGGTAGCATGATTGGTGGAGGTCTAGGATATGGGCGGTCGGCGAACTGGGGCGGGGATTCATGGTATTATTTTAGGTACTCGACATGGAAGGCTGGGTGGACATGACTCATGTCAGGGGGAAGAGTTTGTAGTTGACGGGGGATGTTTGTTCAATGATGGTGAAGGGACCGAGCCATTTGTTGGAGAGTTTCTTGGACAAGCCGTGTTCGGGTTCAAAGCGTTTGGAGGAGAGCCAGACTTTGTCTCCGAATGACACGTCGCGTCTATGTCTGTTAGTCTTGTTGGCTTGTTGTTCTTAGGTTTGTTCAATAGCTTCAGAGGCTTCTCTCAGGAGTCTGTTCATTGTTACTACCCATTCATTGAGACAGCGGCAGGGGTTGGATGGGTTAAGGTGCGAAGGGAGGAAGAAGTCAGAGGGCAAGCGAGGGTGGTAGCCATGGTCGAGGTAGAATGGGGACATGCCGGTGGAAGGGCGGACGACGTTGTTGTAGGCAATCGCGGTCGCTGTGAGCAACTGATCCCAATCGTGTTGGTGTGGATGACAATATTTCCGCAGGATTCTTTGGAGTGTATCGTTCATCTTCTCTGTTTGTCCATTGGTCTGTGGGTGGAATGGAGTGTTATACTTGAGCGTGGTTCCGTAGGCTGTGAAGAAGTGTTTCCATAATTCTGAGAGGAAGCGAGGATCGAGGTCACTGATGATGTTCTCAGGGAGGCCGTGATGGCGAGCAACATGGTCGAAGAAGAGTGTGGCGACGTCTTTGGCACTGTGCGAGGTCATGCAAGGGACAAAATGGGCACGTTTGGTCAAGCGGCAGACAATGRCGTAGATGCAATCATGCCCGTGGTTGGTCTTGGGGAGGCCGCACATGAAGTTTATGGAGATGGACTGCCACCGGTGAGTTGGGATGGGCAATGATTGGAGCTTGCTGGGTTTGGCCCGGTTCGAGGGGTTGACAGCTTGACACGTGGGGCATGAGCGAATGTATGCTTTGACGTCGACGGGCAGGGAAGGCCAGTAGAGGTAGTGGGAGATGGTGTCGAAGGTTTTCTGGAAACCGAGGTGTCCTGCGGTCTTGGCGTCGTGGTGCTCGACCAAGAGTTGATTACGGAGACCACAATGCGTGGTGGATGCAAAGTTGGCGAGTGCCTTTGGTATCGATGTAGAGAGGGTTGTCGTGGAGGGAGTAGTCGGGGACTGGGTCAAGATCGCGGAGCTTGTTGTAGATGGTGGCGAAGTTTGGGCAAGAGAGGTAGCCTTGGGTGTATCGGTGATGGAGTGATGGGAGGAGTCGGATATGAGTCATGGCAGAGTAGACTTTCTTGGGGGGCTTGTGGTCGGGTCGTCGAGAGAGGGCATCCGCAACGCGGTTGCTTTTGTCGGGGATATGGCAAATGGTGAATGTGAACTGGGCAAGGAAGTCTAGCCAGCGGGCTTGGTGTGGGGTGATATCTTTCTTGGAGAGGATGGAGGAGACGATGGTGTTGTCATTGTGGATGGTGAAGTATTGCCCGTCGAGGTACGGGCGCCAGACTGTGAGGGAGTAAATCACGGCGAGGAGTTCCTTCTCGTTGGAGGGGTAATTCATCTCCGCGGGAAGGAGCTTCTTGCTTGCGAAGGCGATGAGGTATTCGCCAGGTGGAGCCTCGGGGTGAGTGGGCGAGTAAGGGGTCTCGGCGGTGTCGCGGGGGAAATGTTGGGACAATACGGCTCCAATGGCGAAGTCGGAGGCGTCAGTGGTGACATAGAAATGGCGAGTGGGGTCGACAATCTTGAGGACAGGGGTTGTGGTGATGGTTTGCTTGAGTAAGATTAAAGCGTGTTGGCGGCGATCGTTCCAATTGAAGGGCTCGTCCTTGCGGGTGAGTTCGTGGAGAGGGTAAGAGATATCGGAAAAGTTGCGAATGAACGGGCGGTAATAGTTGGCAAGGCCGAGGAAGGAACGGAGTCGGAGGAGGGTCTTGGGTGGGGGGTACTGGACGAGGGTTGTGACCTTCGAGGGGTCCATACGGATGCCTTTAGTGGAGACAATGTGGCCAAGGTATTTGACGCTCGAAGCGGCAAACGTACATTTGTTGAGCTTGGTGTAAAATTTTTGCTCTCGGAGGATCGAGAGGACTTGGCGGAGGTGCTGAAGGTGGGACTCGAAGGTGGGGCTGAAGACAAGGATGTTGTCAAGGTAGACGACGACACAGACTTCGAGGAGGTTGCGGAAGATGTGGTTCATGGTAGATTGGAAGGTAGCGAGGGCATTGGTGAGTTCGAATGGCATAACAAGGAACTCATAGTGCCTAAACCGAGAGCGGAAGGCTGTCTTGTGGGTGTCCTCCTCGCGGATACGGATCTGGTGGAAGCCACTGCGAAGGTCGATCTTGGTAAGGTACTTGGCTCCACGGAAACGATCAAGGAGCTCGGAAATCCGAGGTAGGGGGTACTTGTTCTTGATCGTGATCCGGTTTAAGGCGCGGTAGTCTGTGCACATGCGGAGTTCCAAAGTTCCACCTTTCTTGACGAAAAGGCAGCTGGTTCCGAAGGGGGATGAACTTGGCTTAATGAAGCAATTTTCAAGGAGTTCACGGAGTTGCCTCTTCATTTCTTTGGCTTCGGGGACAGAGAGTTGGTATGGAGGGCGGCAAGGTGGAGAATGTCTGGGTTCCAAATCGATGGTATGGGATACGCCACGATCCGGAGGTAGTCCGACGGGTAAGGACTCAGGAAAGACATCCTTGAACTCGTCGAGGATTGAGGTGATGAGGGGGGGGCTTGATCGGGTTTGTCCGTTGGGAGTAAGTCCTCGGGACTTTCGCAATCAAGGACAAGACAGTAGTAGGCGAAGTCGGGGTTTAGGCGAGCCATGTGGAGGAATTGGCGCGGGGTGACGGAGCCTTGGGAGGTCGGATATGGGAGATAGGGGATGTCGATGGTTGTGTCGGGGGGGTGGTGAGGCGAAGGAAGTTGGGGTGGAATGCGTATGGCATGTAGCGGTCCAGCCACGGGAGGGTTCCGACGGTCATGGCGGTCTCGGGAACCGTGCGGTCTACTACGACGGCGGTGTGTTTGTCCCCTAGGCGAACTGTGATCGGGGAGTCATAACCGGTAGAGGTAAGACCGACTTTGTGGACACGCGCGTTGGTGATGAAGTTACCGGTGGCTCCAATGTTGAGGAGGGCCTGAAACTTAGTTGTAGACGCACCAAGGGTGGCGGCAGTGAATTTGAGGTGGAAACAAGATGAGTTGGCGGTGGAGATGATGGTGTTGAGGCGGCGTTGTTCGTTGCCTAAGCGGACAAGCCGATCGTGTCGAGCTTGTTCCTCGACAACATCAGAGAAGGTGACAGTGGATGGGTTTGGAAGAAGGGTAGAGGAGCATGAGGCAGTGGGAGGCGTTTGCGATGCCTGGGAGTCGTCCGGTGGAGGGGGCGTCACCGAAGAGGGGGCAGGCAGACGAATTGTCGATGCCAGATGAGCCATCGGTGGGACGGAGGACGTCACCGATGGGTGGGCCGACAGACGCGATGTCAATGTCGGGTCAATGTCCTGGGGACTGTGTTCATGATGAGGAGGGACCCGCGTTTGCCGAGGGCGGTGATGCGGAGGTTGCGGGTCGAGGGGAGGCGGACTGGCGGGTGAATTGTGCGGTGTTGGGGCAGTTGGTTTGTTGGTGCCCCAATTGGCGACAACGGAAGCAACCCCC